CTCCTCTTCAGCCTGTCCTTTTCTGTTTAGTTATAAACCATAGTCCATAGTCCATATCTGGTCAAAATCTACTGGGGTCACATTATCTTTCCTTACTACCCAGAGTTTGTTTTATAAGTGGTGCCTAATGATAGTGCAAGGAAACTGCTGCCAACCAAATCATCTGCTGGGTTTGGTCCAACACTGTTTTATCTAATACAGCCTTTGTGTATCAGCAATCACTATCAGCCCAGATAAGTGAAGTTAAGATCCGAGGACCTGAAGGATAGCAATGTTTAAGATGGCTGACAGCATATGGCAGTTTTTATACTAACTGGCATCCATTAAGCTCCATTAAGCAGCAGACCCCTGATGAACCCTATGTATTGCGCCCATTAGCAGTGCTGACCATACAATATACCACTACAGCATTTCTGCCCACAACAAGCTTTGGTTTCACTACTGTACGCTGTTAGGCCCAGGCTCTCCATCAGCTGGGATGAGGTCACTATGTTTGGTTACTGCGAAAGGACCACAGGGTTTGTCTTTATTCAGCCTATGTGGAGCAGTTTTTCCTGCTTGATTCCACAACAGTGATGGCCAGATGTAAAATAAGAGTTTGTATCCTGGTTTCGCCAACAAACAAAAAAACACCCCTGATTTGTTCAGCTACTGATGTCTGCTATTGTGCCCACTGAGGCCATTTCCACTGGTTTATCCCATCAGAGCTTTCTAGCTGGGACGGAGAATGTGAGGTGAGGTCATATTCCTTAATGTTTAGCTCGCTAGAAAAATGATATCACAACTCTTAAATCAACATATTTCTTAGATAAGTGCTACCACAGCTTCCTTGATGACAGAAAATGACCTCAGCGGAGAGATATGCCAGTTGCTCCTGATTGGTTAGGGCAAAAGCAAACAAATATAACTCCTCCAAAGAAGACATCAGCAAACACAATTAAGGAAAAGAAACAGAATGGCGATTCAGAATGACTATTAGGCCAATAACTCCAAGTTCAGTAATCTTGAGATTGACTGACAGATTAACTGTTTATCTGGACAATGGTCAGTCGCCAAAAAGAAATATTTACTTGATGTTTTTCACCTTTATCAGCAATAGCCTTAACATTAGGACCTGAATTAGATATTATGGTTGGGCGTAATGACAATATATACCGTGAGATAATTTGTTGGCCATAACATTTGGATCAAGGTAAGTACCCCTTTAATATCTCTGTATTAGACCAATTAATGTGGACCACTTTATAGCCATACTGGATTTATGGAACATTTCAATTTGATTAAAAAACAAGACTTTCAGGCATTTAATTTACTGAATTAGCCATTAGCAGACTGCATCCCATTTGGTTATTTTATCCATGAAAGGGTTCTTATTTTAGTTTCCAAAAAATCTATACATATACATTTTCATATACCATGACAGAAGAGTCCATAATACTCAGTGCGAGCAATTTCCTCCGAAACTGGGACAAAAGACTCAAAACACCAAGCTCAGTGAACAACTTCATATGGTAACATGAACAACAAGCTAGTTAGGGTAAAGGTTACGTTTACAATAAGATGATCACAGAAGATGTAATACCATACAGAGAGAACACAACAGCCTAGAGGCGCAATTAAAGAATAAAAACATCGGCCACAACCACTGAGGAAACTGGATTTGTCACCAAGTAGACAATAGCAGGTTTTGTATGTTGAGCAACTCCTGTAGCAAAGCGTCTAATCCAAGAGGCAGGCCAGCATAATGGCCTATTTATGAGTATGAGAGGTGGGAGGACCAAGAGGGGTAAATTGTTTCAGGGGAGGGGGTTGCAGTGATTGGATGTTATGGGAGACAAACTCAGAGGGAAAGACCATTTTAATAATGGAGAGTGTGGAGTGACGAGGCATGTGGGCTTTGTGATCATTTTGTCACACCAACTGTACGCCGATGCGCTCTTTTGAAGTGCGTATCAACATGCGACTCTTTATGATGCATGAAATAAAGCCATTATTCTTAATCCGTTATAGATAAGAATTCCCACAAGCACACCCCAATTAACTGAAATTGTTATTGCTTCTGGGGCGTGGGGTAAGTGTGGATATTAGTGAGGGCTTTGGTTGAAAAACAAATTTTATAAGACTGCTTATGTTCACACTAAAAAGCCCATAATATAATATAGCTCTACCAAAAACATCAGGGTACACAAAGTATTTAGTATTTTGAATTTTAAACTGGATTTTAGGGAATAGCACTAATTGCTCACAGGCTAGAAGTCTCTTTATACTCGGCCACCGATATCTCCCTTGAAAAGAAAGGAAAAAAATATGACTGAGCAGGGGAATTAGGAGAACAAGTGGAGACCTGAAAAATCTTCATCACAATTCAGACATGTCATGAACATTACACAACACCACGGCATGAATGCGCTGCTATCGCAACACCAATGAGTTTCATCTTGTTATCCTTATGTGGACATATACGCAACAACATTGCTTAATGTCTTAAATAACTGCTACTGGTCTGTTGGGACATGAGGTCAAGAAGTTGAAAACTGATAGAAGAAGAAGACATGACAGAAAAACTGCAAAGAGAGCTGCATTCCTTTCCATTTACTGCCAAAGGAGAAGGAAAAAAAACCTGGAGCCGAGACACAAAGGAGACTGAGGGGGAGGCCATTTCGCTGCTTTTAAGGCTGATCAATAATAAGCTCATGCAAGAGTGTAAGGAGGAAAGCGGAGGAGCCCAGTTTGGCATCACTTCCAGGCATGTGGAGCTTCTAAACTGAGCACAGGCAACTCGTTAGATTGCAAACAGCGCGTTAAGCAGACGAATTACACCTGTCTGTGTGTATGCTCACGTCAGCGTGTGTTAATTCTTGAGCCCGAGGCAGCCATACTGCTGGTGTCAGATAGGACAAGTCTTTTAGTCACGGAGACCCAGTCAGTGAATCATAATAGTGGGAGACAGGAGTCACCTCTGACAATAACAGTGAATCATTATGCAGATGGAAGCACTTCCTGCACCACCTAACCAAAGGAGAAGATAAGTCTGAAATGCTGATACGGTGCTCTAAACACTGCCATCGTTCACCGTGACTGAAAGTGTGGGAGGCAAACAGGGAGAGACATTTGTAAACATGATCAATTCCAATATTCAAAAAGGCGTATGTGCATCTTCTCCACATTTCACAAAAGAGTTTCAGACGTTTCTATTCACTGCTAAAGCAAAAGGCAACTTAAAAATTTGGATGTATTGCCAAACCATTCTCTAAACTGGGTCAAATTGTTGAACTTCTGTGTCAACATTCACATACCACAGCGACGAATGACAATGAACATGAGTGGAGCCGCATTCCAGTCTTTACCTATTATACAAGGTGACATGACATGAACTGTTTAGGCTACAATGGAGGGCCAGCAGGAGCAGTACCCAGATAAAGTAAAGACCTACAACCATCAAGTCACCTATCAACCGCTCAGAGACACTTTCATATTTACATTGTGTGTCTTTGCAGTCGAGTTGCTACAGTGGTTTATGGTTGCAGCTAAGCAATTCCACAATAAAGCACTTTCCTTATCTTACTGTACGATGAGTAATAATTTTATAGGGTACCATGTATGGCCAGTGTGTTGTCACTGTGATGTGTACGTGTTGTCTGACAATAACTCTTACACTGCGTGTATAATTACGGTTATATCAGACAGAAGAATAGATGCCATTGCTTCTAAGATCCATTATTTGCTTTGCTTGGCTGGATAAAATTCACATTAAACTGCATGTGTATTATGTAAAGTATGTTAAAGGATGGGAGTGTAGGATTTAGTGGCATCTTGCCGTTAAGTCACAGACTGCAACTCCCTCTCTTCACCCTCACCTTCCCAGCCCATAGGAGGAACTTATTTTCAGGGGATTACACACCAATATACCTATGAATATTATATTCCACTTCTGCAAATAGATCCTTCTAAATGTTACACACTGGACCTGGCTGTAACACAGTAATCTTTGCTGATTATTGCATTAACTTAATTAATGGCCTCATTAACAGGGTATGTTTAATGCATTACTGTGACTGTGGCAGGATTTCAGGCGGCTCAAGTGCCTCCTGTTCCTGCTCTAATCAAAGTAACTATGCAGAAATATGTGCAAAACAAACACAAACGCAGGACCAACCCGTGTGCTGAGCTGAGATATAGTTACAGAAAGGGCAGCGCAATAGGTTTGAGATAAAGAACTAGTCACACAGGTTATCAGCAGCGCACTACAGTAAACTGCTGTACCTCCAGGTCCACAATTAAATTTCTATGTAAGCGTATTCAAACAGAAGTTGTTCTTTGACTTAAGCGAAGTGCTACTCTTGTTTAAATGTGGAGGAAAATAAGTGAGATGTCAGCCTGAAGAAGCCCCAGCTAGAAGCGGTGGCTTCAAAGCATGTAATTGCCAACTGCACAGGCTGAGACAGGATGTGGAATTTGTCGACATGAGCTTTCTACAGAGCAATTTTAGTTCCCGGTCCAAACCTCTGTACTCCCAGAGGGAGAAAAATAGTAGACAGGGGATAGGTTTAATGTGCAGCTGTGGAATGCATGACATGATATAAACAGCAGATGCATTAGGGGCGGCAGGGTGGCCAAGTGGTCATTGTACAGCTGAAGGAGCCCCCTGTATGGAGCACAATTCAACCCCGCTGAAGTGCCTTTGAGCAACACACTGAATCCCTTTCACATGCTCTGTGAGTTACCCTGACATCTGAGCTCATAAACACACAGTTGTTCACCTATGAGGTATGATTTAGGGCCATTAATCCTGCACTGCTGCAGCCAGAGTGTTTCAAACAGATACAAAACTATGTTTCTTTTTTTGTCATCTGACCTGCTCTACAACCCACCACTTGTGAGTACTTTGCTCAAAATGAAGTCATACTTGAACAGGTAAGACTGGGCTTTCAGTCCGACCATTTAAACACGAATATGTTGAACCATTATTATTATTTTTTTTAAACAAGTTATTCACTAACCAAGGTCAGAAAAACCTGCTCCACGGTGTCATCATGTCTGTGTCCCTGTTAGTTGAAACTACACCAAAAAAACAGGCAGAAGCTCGAGTTATTTCTGAGTGAGAAATGCGATTTAAATGTTGGAAACAATTGCTAGGGCGATTAAACTACCAGACGGACTCCAGAGAGACATTATAGGGTCAGGATTTAACAGTCGCCTTTTGTGAAACTAGTGGCCGAAACACAAAATGTAGCCTGGAAACACAATGAAGATGAAGGGATTTGAGCCGCTTTACCCACCTCATTGTTCGGCCAGAGTGGAGCTCCTCTCCTCGTAGGCAAGTTTGGCTGACTTCAGAGCTGTGCCCGGGCTTTAAAAGTCAAACTAGTGAAATAAAAAACCGAGACAAATCGGCGAAAAAACACGCATCTACACCCGCAAACGGGGTAGCCACTAACGGAATAGAGAAGCACACCTCGACGATTTCCTGGTTTGTGTGGAGCGGGAGAGGAGGGAGGAGAGCACATACAGTAGTGGAGCGGGTTGTCAACTCCAATCACTATCTATCCCACATTGGTTTGTACGAGCTAGAAAAGGAGGTGAAGGAGCCGAGAAGAAGCGGAAGCCACACCAGGACCGCAACTTCTCCTTTTCACACTTTTGTGTCGGTTTACCGCGGTGTTTCTGGAGATTACAGCCGTGTGTGTGCGCCAGACTTTTCTCCTCTCCCTCGGTCGGTCGGTAGCTCTGTAAATTCATTGGAGTCTGGCCCAACCCGCCAGCTTCAAAGAAGGCTACAATCCCACGGTGCGTTCACGTGTGCCTCGTAAAAGTCCCACTTTAGGAGACGCGAGTGGGGATTCCTTGACTTTGCTGTGTGAGATTTATTTCAGATGTCTAGCAGTAGAAGGCTGAAATTAGAAATATGACAGCTTGTGGTGGAAAGTAACAAACAGGGTACATTTGTGCACTGTACCTACTTCCACTCCACAATGTTTTACAGAGACATACTGTATGTTTTAACTCCATTATTTGACAGCTGAATAGTTTTCATACAAAATGTAGGATTGTCTTATAAAACAGTGTTTAAAGTAGACAATAAAATTAATGTATTTATAATGATCTGATAAGGGCCATGCTTTCTGAATACTGTTGTCTCTGATAGCCTACTTGATACTTAAAGTATATTTTGCTGCTAATACTTCCACTATATACTTGTAATATAGTTTACCAATGAGGGATTGCTACTTTTAAGTAACCACTGATATATGATAATAATAATAATAATAATAATAATAATAATAATAATAACAATAATAATAATAATCAGCTGCCAAGTATGATGTAAACACCAAGTTGTTTTTTTTCTTCATTTGTATTTCGTCGTGATTTGCATATTTCTCTTGTTCTTGACATCAATGTAAATTAGGGAAACCTCACGACTTAAATAAAGGTTTTGAATTGAATTGTATTGTAGTCGAGACATTAGTAAGCATAGCCTGATTATCAGGACCAGATTAGGCATTTACTCATCAAGTGGTTCTTCCTCTGAGTGTGTTTTAGGCACATGTTCCACATGTGTATCCTATTACTGTAAATAATAAGTAAATTTAGCACACATAAAGGGCAGACTTTGAAACAGTCATACAATAAAGCCCCTCTATGTAAACTAAAGTAAAGTAAGACTAAAATAGTTGGATTGGAGTTTTTGTGTTCAGGCATCACAACCTGAAAGGCGAGATGTCCTTTGATTTTAAGGTACTACCAACATTACTGACTTAGACTATAGTAACTCAATAATCTTGGTGTGGACATTTCTTTGATAATTCTATGGTTGCTTTGATGAGATAATAACAGTTTCTGGGAAACTTGTCTTTTATTATGGCATCTATAGCAATAGTCACTTTGTAAATGATTTGATGCTATTTGTGCGTCACAGAGGCCACATGATCTAACACCCATCTTTGCTCACCATTCTAGGAACAGTATTTATATACTGTCTACTCTTTTTATGGTGGTTCGTTTTTTACATTTACAATAGCACTTGAAGGCAGCATCTCATCCAAGCAAGGGGCCCGCCCTGGCCCTCCACCTCCTACTGGCTGTCTGGGTAACTTCAGGTTTCGGTTAGTAACTGTGGCTTTTGAGGTTACTCCATAAAGACTTTCTGGGGCTTTGCATGAGTAATTCCTGTGGACTAAAAATATATCGAAAATAAATAACAGCTCTGATTCAAAAAATAGATAATAGGACAAGAAGCAACAGCACTGAACTATAGAAATCCTTTATATAACTTATGTTAAACGCTGAAGTAATACTTTCTAATTCTGTTAACAATGATGGGGGAAAGGAGTCAGATGCCTCACATGGCCCAGTTTTTTAACACTGAGATATTGCACACACTAAAAGCACTCCTTCCTAATGGGGACAGAAGTGGAAGACAAGATGAGAAAGGAATGCATTACGTCTGCATGGCATGTGTAAACACACAGAAAGCCAATATGCTTTTCGTCTCACTACACACTTAGACATACAAGCTAACTGCTCTGAGCAACTGTTAGTCTGGTAGGCTTTTTTTTTTTTTTTTTTTTAGCCATGTGTCCCCAGTGAACTCTGCTGTCTCCTGAGGCTCAAACTATCAAGTAGACCCCCTTTCCATTGCTGAGTGTGCAGTTTTTCAGATATTAACACCAGACTGTGTGTGAGCTTGTGCTTGTGTGGAGGTGTCTGTGTGATTTGTGTTGGCCCAGTCTCAAAAAGCTGGTCCAGTTCCCAGAAAGTAGCCCGTAAAGAATTAGAAACAGTCATGCTGTAATTTTAGGTTTCTCCTGTGCTCCTCCTCCCCTTTACCACAGCTTTATTTCCACAGCTTGACGTCAGTAGGTCAACGCCGTCCACAGCTGGCAGTCTGACAGAAGACCTGCTGGACAACAGCGAGGAGGACGCCATGAGACTGGGAGCAAATTATTGGCTACAATAGGCATTTAGGGGTGAAGGTTTAAACAAAATAAGAGATGTTTGTGTGAGATGGAGAAAATGAAAAATGGAAGTTGCTGAAGAAGCACAGAGATTTGGACAAAGTGGATGCTTGGTCAAGCGGTCTGAATTACACCTCTACGCATCTCTCTGTCCCTGTGAGTTTGTAGAGAGAGGCTATTATGTAAACAGATTGCACTTCTACTACATCTTACATCAGAGAGTCCAGGACTTGTTGAAGCATCCAGTCCCGAGGCAGCGACTGAAAGCCTCAGCTTCCACTGCTGGTTGAATAGCCAACGAATAAAGAAAATTATACAACTGAACTTCAATCAGGGAAACAAAGTGTCAGTCTGGATCCTGAGGTTGGCAACAGTTAGCCAGATGGGGATTAGTAGTAACTGTTTAAACTATTCCAGATGAGCCAATATTTGGTAGTGCTTTTATAAAGAAACACAATGGACACAGATAATAAATGTTGTTCACTGTTCATCAAGTATTTTAATTCTCTCTCCATCTCTTTTTGGCGGGGGAGGAATGTGACTGGAGGAGGGTATAAATCTGTAAAAGGGAGCGAGACACAACTGTTCACTAAGAGGTCTGGGCTGGAGGCCAGCTTAGCAAAGGGCAGCAGTAGGATTTTAGAGAGTCCAAGTGACATGTCCTGAAATGTAGGCCTTGAACTCCTCATAGGACAAAGTGGGAGCATTACACACTGACAAAGTATCGCAGGATACTATCGTTAAAGTGGAGAATTCAGAACTTAAACTTATGTTTTCATTTTAAAGCACCAGTGTGTAGGATTTAGTGGCATCTAGCTGTGAAGTTGCAGATATCAACTATCTGAACTCTGCTGGAGTATGCAATCGGGGGCGGCTGTGGCTCAAGAGGTTAGTGGGTCGTCCACTAATCATGTTGGGGGTTCAACCCCCGGCTACTCTCGCTCCATGTTTAAGTGTCCTTGAGCAAGATACTGAACCCCCAAATTGCTCCTGGCGCTGTGCATCGGTGTATGAATGTGGATGTTAGTTAGCTTCTGTTGGAAGACTAGACAGGCACTATACAAGTACAGTCTATTAGACTGAGAATGGGCTGTGAAGTGTGTAGGAGAAACTGTGGCTGCTAACCTCGTGAAAAACACAAAAAGGCCTTAACTACAGTCAATGTTTGGTTGGCTACTGTAGAAAAATGGTGATTCAACATGGCAACCCCCACGGATGGCAACCTGCATCGTCTGTAGACAAAAACAGCTCAATCTAAGGTAATAAAAACACAACGATTCCTATGTTCAGGTGATTAAATGAAAACATAGTTATGCATATTAGCTTTCCGCCAATAGATCCTCCTAAATGTTACACACTGGACCTTTAATATCTGAGCATTGTGCTACTTACATGAAAAGCATGTCTGCCTATGTGACAGACAGATCTCTGTGATAAATTTAAAAAAAAGGGCCCAAACAAATCACTTGCATGTCATATCAAATATTTCTTAATGTGTTTCAGATTAGATGATGCTTTCAGGATCCAGTGAATGTGTTTCAGTTTTTGAGGACACGGTGTAGGATTAAATTAAAGTGGTTTGTCAGTCAAGCTAATGCATGATCTGTGTTGGAAAAGTAGGTTCATTCCTTTTTTAGTCCACTAGATGGCAACATGGCCGCAGTGTATCGCAGATGAATGTCACACAGCACTGAGCTGAAAAGAGTTCTTCAAAGTAAATTGTGTTACGTGTAAAACTACAACATAGTCACCCTAGGATTAACAATGAAACATAAAATAAAAAGAATGTAAATTAAATTTATTTTCTATTAAAGTATCAGCTGTGAAAATTGCAATTTCAGTGCAATTTGTCACAGAAAATACAGAAACTTTCCTCAAGAAACTCATTTCAGACATATTCATAAGAAATATCACAATCAAATTATCAATCAGTTCTGATACTTTAGAAACATCAAAAACTGAAAACATATAACATCAAAACAAGGCATTATGACACCAAGGTCATGTCCATCTATATGTGTGGGAATGTGGGGGTTCACATGATATCAAAGGAGTTTACATCCTCCATTACAAACATATTCATTCATATTAAAACAATGTTAAGCCGACAGTTTTCAGGTCAAACACTTAAGAAATTATACAATCAAAGAGACTGAGTATTCACCACCAACACAGACAAATGGAGCTCAGAATAATGTTAGAACATCTACAGTGCAATGGCAGCTGAACAAACCCCCTCTGCTGATGAGGACCAAGGTCATAATGTAGGGAGATTAAATCTATAGAAAATATGTTTTAAAAGTTAAAAGAAAAAAAGGGATTTCCTAAAAATTTGGTTTTTAAATTAATATATATTTTATACACCAATAATGTTTGGAGGCTAGTCCAACATGTCTTAGTTGGGTGGGATGGTGCTGGAGAGATTTAAACCCATGACACATAGCCTATAATCCTGGTTTAGGCCGCACTCAGGCCTAATAATAACCATTATTTACGAATAAGTTACTCTATATAAATGATTAATTTCAACAACAACAACAAAAAAGTTCCTTTATGCTACAGAGCACACTCCAGCAGGGCCTGTTTGTAAATAGGCCCGGTCTACATGCAGCAGCTCGGTACACCCGATCCCTCTTGTTTTGACTGTCACTGAATGTGTCCTTGCAGTTACTGTCATTCACACTTAAAGAGAGATGAGTGAAGGCTTTGTTTGTGTGTTTTCACGGAGCTGATACCCTCTCCTCCTCCTCCTCCTCATCCTCCTCGCCCTCTTCTCTCCCTCCACCTGGCCTGTCGGCTCT